ATATATATATATATATATATATATATATATATATATATGAGACGCTTTTCCAGACGTGTGATAATCTGCTAACTGCGAGGAGACTGCGACAAAATTCCTCTGAAGTAATTTTTTATTGTTTTTGTGCTCTCACCGACTACAGTCGTGAAGCTACCAGGGACGCTTTTTCCTCCGAATTCAACTGCTACTTCCTAATGCCACCAATTCGGATATCGTTCTAATGGCAAGCGATTTGTATTTGCAAGTAGATCGAATGAGGTCAGAAGCTCAGGGATGGTCGGTTTGGACAGAGCTTTGAGCGTTTGTTTCAGCTGTCGCGGAGCACATGCTGTTCCTTAACATCACGGCCTTCAGGCACTATGGACGCCGGTCTGCTACTTGACGACCTCCAATAGTTAGCCATCTATAAACTCATATGGACCACAACTTCATTGAATTCTTGTCTGGTTCCTCCAACTTAGCAGTTTGATCGCAATCCAGTTCAGACTCATCTCACACGTACGTGTGTCAACCATGATTGTGCGCTAGTTCTCTGCGTATTCTCGTGAATTTTGCCAGCAGTAGTATCAAACTTCCCTTCTGTTGGCAACTGAGAAGTATTCTCAGCGCTCGGTCAAGCAAGACTACCAGCATGCCCTACACAGCAGGCTTTTACCTGGGTACTCCAAAAAACCGAGTTTCAGTGGAACACTCTCGGCCATCATGTAGGACGCTGGAGATTCTGTTTGCAGCAATATTACTCGTCATCGCACCAGTCCCAGGATATATGAGAGGTCTGTAAACCTGTTGGAATTCATGAGGAAGCTAGCTGCTGGTTCTGAGCACAATGTGACCAGGCGGATCATTAGGCGCGAGCAGAAATGCGCCCTGTATACTGACAAAGATTTTCGCTAGACCAGAATGGCTCAGAAAGTGAAGGCGGGTGGAACAGCGTGCAATTGCCGCACGCCCTTCCATTTAATCTCATCATTCGTCATTGTACCGATAAAAAAGAGCACCAGTGAACGGGTTCAAAGGAAACAACGGCGACTGACTCGTTAGGCGGAGCACTTTTGACAGCCTCTTCCTGCTCACTTTGTGTGGGCTGAAACATGCCCGGCTAGTACAAACGCTCCATCGGAGGTTGGTCTCCAAAGCGTGATCAGAGCCCTTAATGGTTTTTGGTCTTCTGGTATGGATTCCCTTGACTCCACCCTATTTAAAGATGGGTAGATGGCTTGCACCACCCACAGCTCCAACCACACATCCCATATCTAGTGTAAACCCGAAGGAATAAGACCGGGAGGCATGTGGATGGGAGCCACGTTTCATCAACGGAGCCGGCCCACAATCCTTCGCATGCAAACACAAGCACGCTGTATTTGGGGAATCAAGCGCACACAAAGCGGTGACTGGACCATAGTCCGCTCTACACTAAGTGCATGGAATCACTCTTTGATCCTAACACGGCCACAACAACCGTGCACCCCGTCCCCTCCAGCAACGACCAATTGTCTCCTGGAGCCAGTATGGACGAGGTAGTGCATAATAGACAGGTAGACACCTTGTCAACATGCACATCAAGCGCAGCCACACCGGGGATATCAAGCATCAATCAATCACTTGAGAGAAAGATAGCAAAGCAAATAAATCTAGTAATGCATAAGGAAACGGCGACATAAACCTTAAATTAATGAGCATATGAAGCAAGTTGTTTACAAAGGATCCGAGATAAGTTCACCAGGTCAGAAAGTATATTTTACGGAAATGACACAAACACGAAAATGTTATCGAAATTAACTACAATTGGCTTAAGCGACGTGTGCAAGTATATAGAAGAGCGTACAGGTAGACATTTATATGAGAAAGAAAAGCATTAGGTCAAAATTGAAAATCCACCACCTGAAATAGAGACTTAGCATGCAAGCACGCGGTTAGTAAATCGAATGCAACGAACCTACAAACGCTGCGCTGGTTCTGCCTACGTTTTCTGCAACACCCGTCGTCGCTTTTTTAGTGGTTCCGAGTGGCCTCGCTCATGGCTCACTAGGCCTGCCTGACTCAGGCACTCGCGACCGTATGTGCTACAGCACCATGCGCTTGATGTCGATGGAGTACAACCCATCGGTGCTTGCCGCTTCCGAACTTGCCGCTTTTTTTCTGCATGCATGAGGTCATTCTCCCGCACTTCGGCTACTGCCTTCGTGATTAGATCGCGCCAGGCACGCCGGTCACTGGATATCCGAGAGGTCGCTGAACCTGTTGGAATATAGAAGACACCTCCCTGCTGGCTCTGAACACATTGTGACCAGACGGGCTATTAGGCGTTAACCAAAACAGAGCCTGCGTGCTGACAAGGAAGCCTGGTGGACCAGTAGGGTTCAAGAAATGGAGGAGACAGGAGCATTAGGCAATTACCGCAAGCTCTTCCAGCTAATCCGCACCACTGGTCCCAGAAAACCAGGCGTCAGTGAGACAATCAGAGACAGCGCGGGTGCGCTGATACACAATAAGGAGCGCCGCATGGCTCGTTGGGCTGAACACTTTGAAGATCAGTTCAGCTGGTCCCCTGCTCCCGGACCTCTTCCTACTCATGTGATGTAGGACGTGGCATGGAAGGTTAGTTTAGAGCCTCCGTCGGAGGCCGAGGTCCGAAAAGCGATTACAGCCCTCAATCGTTTTCATGCTGCTGGCCCGGATTCCCTCCCACCTGCACTATTTAAGGATGGAGGTGAGGTCCTCTGCAAAGCACTGACCTCCCTATTCGAAAGTATTTGGAATGAAGTGTCCCGGCTAATTGGAGCGAATCGATTATGGTGGAAATATACAAGAAGGGCAGTCGCACAGACTGTTATAACCACAGGGGTATTAGTCTAACGCCAGTTGTGACTAAAGTACTGTCTTGCATTATCGTTCGTCGCCGCACTGCGGAAAGGGAATCTCGGATTAGGGAAGAGCAGGCCGGTTTCCGCCCAGGACGTAGTTGTATAGACCATATATTCACTTTGCGGCAGGTGTTAGAGCAGTGCCACGCATACCGCAGACCGACAATAGCTGTGTTCCTCGATTTCACGAGTGCGTTCGATTGGTTCAGTCGATCGATCGATTCTGTTCGAAATAGTTGCGCGGAAAGTTTTTCACACGAAATATGTGAACCTCCTAGGTGCTCCATACTCGAACACTACAGGCCGCGTCAGGGTCTACGGATAGCTTTCCGACCACAAGTGACGTTCTTCAGGGTTGTCCGATTTCCCCGTTTTTGTTCAATTTCGTCTTGGATTCTATCATGGAGTGTTTCCTTGCTGAATCTCACGATGTAGGCGTTGAAGTACTGCACGGTGAAAGGTTAGTTGATCTAGATTATGCGGATGATATCGTTTTACTTTCCGACAGTGTTGCGGCGGCCCAATCGACCCTGAATAGTCTCTCTGTAGTGGCCCCATTATTTGGTATGCACTTCGCACCTTCAATATGCAAAGTGTTGCTGCAGGACCACCAGCCACTTGATGACCCCTTGACGCTTGCTAACGAGGAACTCGAGGTGGTTGATCATTTCACTTATCTTGGTAGCTGCATCAGCAATGATGGGCGCATAGCAACTGACGTCAGCTCACGCATTGCAAAAGCCAGAGCTGTCTTCTTGAACCTGCGTCATCTTTGGCGACAGAAGGGAGTTTCCCTCCGCCTGAAAGGCCGTGTATACAAGGCCACAGTGAGGGCGGTTCTGCTGTGTGGTAGTGAGATTTGGCCCCTTCGGTCTGAAGATCTGAGGCGTCTTCAAGTCTTTGACCATCGTTGTCTACGAGGCATTGCTGGTGTCGGATGGCACCAACGTGTCCGCAACAATGATTTGCGTAGACGAGTACTAGGTTGCACTGAATAAGTTGCGTTGGCTCGGGCACGTGCTACGTATGCCTGGTCACCGTTTTCCTAGGAGGGCCTTGTTTAGTCTGCCAAGTGTAGGGTGGCGCAAGGCTCGAGGTGGACAGAAGTTGACTTGGCAGCGGGAAATGAAGTCACTGACGACCAAACTGGGTGCCGTTGGTCCGTCTCGCCTTCCGGGCTGGAGTCCACGTGACTCGCCTTGTGCTTGGCTCAAGACTTTACAGGACATGGCTCGCAGTAGACACCACTGGCGCGTCTGCTGCCGTCTCTTAATCGGATTGCCTGTTTAAAGTGTGTTTGGTGCTGCGTTATCTGCGGGGTAATGACTGATTATGACGCGTGGCAGTGAAAACCGCAAGGAAGCTGTCTCGCCGATGCCGGCTTACCTTTGCACGATAGCGAACTGTTTATGACGGTAAGTTGTCTACACAAGGTGTAGGCGCCTTGACCCTGAATGTTAGCTTAGGGCATTAAGGTTTTCAGGTAAGTCCCCCTTCTCTCCCTCTTCTTATTCTTTATTTCATAGATCCTTTTGGTTGTATGGCAGCGAAGCGTCAGTTCAAGTGGTTGAGGTACTGCTGTCGTTGTTGTTTCACTCAGTTGCCGTACCTACGTGGGTTAGGGATATTGCGAGTAACCCGCTCCCCACGCATATTCGATTCGGTAACTGTTGGCTGAGAAGGTAGACGCGTTTTGTCAATCGGCTGCTGGCTGACACCCATACCTAAGTAATAACGATGGCTCGAACTAGGATAATAAATGCATACCACAAAAAAAACCATTTCTGACTTCTTTCGTAAGTCTTATTGCACTGGACTACCCCACGTATGGTTTCTCCTAGTAGTACTATTAACCAATGCGGCTTTTGATAATCCCGTCCAACCACTTCCGCACGTCAGAAGACTACGGTTTTTAATCATACTTTCAGATCTGCCTACGCTAGTTCACGGGTCATACTCCACGTATTTTCGCAGCTTGATGTAGATGAAATCCCTGCTTTTCGGTCTGCGTTACTGAACTGCAATTCATCTTTGCATTTTATTTCCGTCTGTAATTTGGCCAAGTGTGGATGCTCACATTAACCTCTTGTATTTCCATTTTAACTTACCTGCTACTTTTTAACCCCATCAATTTCAGCTGCACCAGAGGATATTGTCGAGGATATGCTCTATTGGGATAGCTATCTTCGGCAGTTGCATTACCGCACACGATTGCTCCTTTTAGCTGCTTTTGGCATTATGTCACTTTTCCTGTTGTCCTATATTTGGCTCCCGGATGCTTCAACTCATGCGCAGCTAGAAAAACAGGTACTATTGTTAGCTTAACGATCCTGAGCATTGCATTGTTTGTATATCGTTGTGATCAACCACCGTATTGTCGTTACTTCGTAGTCAATCTGTTGTTCCGAGTTGTTTGATTGCCCTATATGTGTTTAAATTGTGATACTATTCACATTCCAGCCCATTAAAAACCGTAAGTTGCTCTCAAAAGTAGCGACCTCGCATTTCCTAAGTTTTCACGCATTTTTAAACACATTCATGTTTCCTTTACAGACAAATACGAATATCGAGACGAATGCAGTGGATGTTTGCTAGCGAGGCAGACTTTCTTCACGCAGATGACTGTTTTGTTGTCATTGACGCTTTGTGCATTGCTTCTTATGGTGCAACGGCTACATCTTCATGATGAACCGTGGTTTATACTACTCCATTCTTCAGTTCAATTCCGTTAATGGAATGTTGGATTGCGATGCATCCAACTGCGATGTCTCTCACCGTCACCACAATTATGACTAACAAGAGCGGGGATATGTGGTAAAAGCACATACAAACACTATGCGGATATTCAAAATAATTCCAAACACTGGTAGCCTAGGTTGATTGTTGAGCTGTTGTTTGGTTAAATGGTTGAATCATTGAGATTGCCCACCGCGCATCACCGCACTGACGATGCCACCTCGCATGGTGGCGAAACGTATGCAACCATTTAACCAAGCTCGGCAAACTAATCAACAGCTGAACTTTACAGATATGTACATTAAAAGGTTGCATTCCTAAGGTGGATGGATTAACATTGAGAGACAACAAAACGAGCGGCCCAACACTACTGACTTCTCGACCACATGTCGACAAGAGCCATTAACCGCAGAACTATGCTTTCTTGTCGACCTCGCTGATGTACCAGAGCATAAAGTGAGTAGCACTCAGGTGTTCGTGTACTGATCGTGCTTGGTAATTGGGTTGCACACGTTTTATTACCACACTTCGTGACAGCATCACAACGCACCTATAGGTGGTACTCTTCATTAACTCTGACCTACGTATACAACCCTGGTGTTTGCAATCATAAGTCCATCTGATTGGTTGCTGATATGCGTTTTTCGGTGAATATGGGTGGTTGAGATTAATCATAGAGTTATTCCCGCGATGTGGATGGTTGGCAGCACTTCTCATAGCACAATGGCTCTATGATCCGTCGAGTGGGCTTACTCTACCTGTTGGACTGCTTGGTTGCACACAACGATTTTCGAAGCCCTTGCTTTTTCCTGTTTGATATATGGATCGACATCGATGCACATATTTATAGAATCCTTCATTAACTGCCACACTCCCAGAAATGCTTTTTCCATGTTTCTCCGTACCTCACGATTTCTGTTTTAGTTCAAACAATGGCATGTCCTTTTCCAAATGCTCCGAAAGCAAAGAGAGTGCGTGATGCTTTTTGAAGACTCTTTCCTGCCCTTGTATTGTAACCAGTTTCTACTCAATTTGACCTGTATAATCTATCCTTATTTCGATACCGTACCTTGTACTCAACCTTTCGTCTCTCATGGGGTTCCGGTTTACATATTTGTTTTAACGGAGTCTTTCTCAGTGGCTGTTTGTTTGTGAACCACTGTAAGGCCATGTTGTTTAAATGACCGTGTTGTTAATTTGGAAATGTTCCTACTGCAAAGCAGAATGACTAGTTTCGTTGTCACTCAGGCAAGTTAGGGCATCATAGCTTAGTGGTTTAAACATCTCCAGACAAAGCGCGCAGACAGCCTCTCGGTGGAATTGACCTGAACTGCTATTTCCCATCTTTCCGCTTTGCAAAACTTCATTTATTTATGTTAGCTGTATTATTTGTTTTGCGAAAGTGCGTGATTTTTGTGGCAGTTTACTATTTGTTCTGTGTGTTTATTTTTTCTTGTTAACTGGCGTTTGTAGCTCTCTGTCCCGGTGACCAACGCATCCGGGAAGTAGTGTTTCTTATCCATCTGATATACTGAATGTTATTCATAGCACTGTTAAGCACTTAATATGCAATCGTCACCTGGCTGTGCTCAAGTATCGTTGACGCATTATGTCCATAACTTTAGGTTGATTCCCGGTAGCAGGTTTTCTTTTGCACAAATATTTCTTCGATGATACTGGGAAGAGATACTGGGAATCCCGTTGGCGCCTATATCATTTGCTCATACACTTGTTCATTACAATTGTAGATTGTAAGGCATATATCAAAAGCGCACTTCCAGTCGTTAACTTCCCGATTGTTTTCTCTCCGATGCTTACGCATTCTGTGATGGTCTCTTTTGCCGCGTACAAGTTGACGGATACAAAAGAGCGGTCACATCTCATCGTGGTCCAATTTAAAGCCTTTGAAATTCCCTAGAATTTGCTTGATATTATTGATAGTGTTTCATCCTGCTCGTTAAATATGCTTGTGGCTAAGCTGTAAATTGGTGTGACCGATAGCGACACCATTGGCCGTAGTGGCGCGCCTTCTGGTGCGTTAGATGGAGATATAGCAACAGATGTAATAACACATTGTCGTAAGTATACGCTTTACTGGTCTAACAAATCATCATCTCACATCATCATCATCAACACATTTCAAAATTATCACTGATCAGCGATCCATATCCTTCATGTACGGCGATGGTCAAACAAGCAAGGTTAAGAACGGTAAAATCCAGAACTGTTAACTTGAACGGTCTGTATACCAGTACGCCATTAGTTTCAGAGCTGGTAAGGCTAAACAGGTTACATAGAATTTTATCATATCACGTGTGTGTTTGGACACGTCCTGACATGACGAAGAGCCAGCGGCCCAGTGGCGTGTGTTGATTTTCTTTTTTCCTCCCCCTTTTACCAAGCATTACCTTACCTTTTGGTTTCCTGTTTTTTATTCTGTTTTGTATCTCGTTTTTTTTCGCCTTTCATTTATCCCATCCTGGATCTTTTCCAGTTAAGCCCCGCCACTAATGCAAAAAGAGCACGCGCAAAAAGTTAAGCCCCGCTACTAAGGCACAAAGGGGTCACCTGAAAAGTCATGCCCCACCAATAGTGCAAAAAGGGCACGCGTGAAAAGTTGAGCCCCGCCACTTTTTGCCAGCTCCAGTGTACGGAATGCATGTGAACGTGCCCCATAAAAACACTCCTTATCCACTTCTAAGGTCGTTTTTGTCCAAAAAGTTTCTACGTTCGCACGTAAAACGTGACATGAACTTTCTGACGCTTTCGACGGTCGTTCATGACAAGGAAACAGCAATACGTTTTTTGCAAAGCCATGGAGTGATTCATCATCAACGTTTATGCAGGCGAGGACACCAAATGACACTTTCAACTGTTTCTGACAGGTGGAGGTGTGATGCCCGACAGTGTCGGCAAGAAATCGGTCTTCGAAAGGGAACTTGGCTGGAGCGGTCTAGGATGGATTTCAGGACAATAATCCTATTCATTTATTGCTGGTCCAAAAATCTGACAACAATCAAATTCTGCTCAGAGGAGTTATCTATTGGCCACGCGACAGTTGTCGACTGGAAGAACTTTCTGCGTGAAATTTGCGCCTAGCAGCTTTTGCAGACTCCAACGATTGTTGGCGGTCCAGGTCTACATGTCGAGATCGATGAAACCCTAATATCACGTCGTAAAAACCATGCAGGGCGAGTCCTTCCCCAGCAGTGGATTTTCGGAGGGATTTGCCGGGAGACTAAAGAAGTGTTCTTGTATGCAGTGCCAGATCGAACTGCGGCCACTCTGCTGGACACAATCCAGGCCTGCATCGCTCCCGGCTCAATTATCATTTCCGATATGTGGGCATCATACCAAGGCATTGAATCGATGATTGGCATGAGTTATACCCATCAAACGGTTAATCATACCGGAAACTTTCTGGATCCAACGACTGGAGCTCACACACAAACCATCGAATCTCTCTGGCACATTTACAAGATGCAGAATAAGCGCCAATGCGGCACACACCGATCTTTAGTGGACAGCTACCTGTGTGAGTTCGTTTGGAGGCAGACACCGAAAAATGGACCTTTTCATGCAAATTATTAATGATTTGTCTCAATTTCACCCTCTTCAATAGAGAGTAAAAGTTCAAGTTCCATATCCTCCCTTTTCATAATCTTTTTTTGGGTAGCGGGGCTTAACTTTTTGGCGGGGCTTAACTGGAAAAGATCCCTCATCCTTTAGTATTGTGGCACAATAGTTGCAGAGTATTTCTCACCGTCAGCTAATTTATGATGATGATGATGATGCTTCGTTTGTATTTCAGATCGTTGGAAGGTGGAAGTTAGTGCAAAAGTTTCACGCGTTCCGAATGGGGCCTGATTTCACCCTTAGATATGTCATAACTGAGGAGATGAATTCCCTCACATGCGGTGACGGTTTTAACATTGTTCTAAGTTATGCCGTATTTAGCAACATCTGCCAAGAACTACTGGAGTTTCCGTTTGTGATCGACCGTAGGTACACCGCATGCGGTAACGTTGTCTATGTAAGCGATCGTATCACTGAGGCCTTCAGTGCTCAATATCCTATCGATGCTCCACTGGAAATAAGCCATAGCACTAGTGACCCAAAGTGGGATACGTTAAAATTTGAAACTTTTCCGCATGCCTCAAAGCGGTGTTTGGTTTTTCATGCTTAGCGATGGAGTTCTGAGGGTGAGCATTTTGCAACTCCAGTGTACTGTATGCGGCATAGTGAGAAACATTTTCTATCACTGTCAATTTCTGGTAACGGATCTAGTGTTGTGAAACGGTTTACCGTGAGCTGCAGTCATTAACCATCTTTTGTATGTGTTATGACACGTCCTAGTTGTTTCGACACAGCCGGAACGGATGCACATTTAACTATAGTACCACACGCACGCATAGCAGCCAATTGAATTTGGATCGTTGCGGGCTAACGTGACGTAGCCGCCAGACGTCGACGCGAGCTGACTGGAGACAAAAAGCGCGTAACCTAGCACGATTGCACTTAGACCCAAACGAGACTGGCTGTTGACAATGGTTCTTTTACTGACTCAGCCATGGCGAACCATGCCTTCTACACTTCATATTTATAGCTCAATATAACAGCCGTGAAATACATAAACCATAGAGGGTGCTGGGTATTGGCAAGGCACATGAGTTGTCACACAGTGGTAGTGTCCTGAGTAAACCCAGTTAGCGTCGGCGTGGGTTCATGCGGTAACTACCGCAGTTTGCTGAGGTGAGCTCACATGGTTCACTGCGGCTTGACACGATAGATGCAATATTATCACGAGGAGAGTTCAGTGAGTGCACTGCAGTTTACACTGTAGAATTACCAGTGTCCTGAGTAGAGCTCAGTTGGTTCACCGTAGTTTAGTACCACTGTTTTGGGGGCGACTCAGCTTACTCTGAATCGCCGCATGGTGATGGTATGTATGAGGTGAGCCCGGTGAAATTTGTGCAAGTTTCGCGGAACTATGCGAGCTCCGCAGCCGTATGTTTGGCGTTTTTGGTAACCGGTACTTGTGCTCTCCAAGCTTAGCTTGAGGATTTACTGATGCTGTCATTTAATAATGGGTGTATATCAACCTTTATAGAATGTTCATCATCGACTGAGTGTCGACGAGACATCGTGACGATTCCAGGTTTGTCGAATACTGGACATGATTCGATGTTGGCTACAGTTAGTTCACCCAGTAAAAACGTGCCATGTCCCCCATCGAATGGTATTTACTTTGTTATGCAGGCCAAAAAGGTCATGGCCGAGTAACATATTGGCGCATGGGTTACGCATGACGTTTTGGTAGCGAATCTGAGCATTAAAATATTCAGTAACTTTGCACGACAAAGGTGGAGGCCATGTTGGTTTCGGAGTCAGGGATAGATTTTCCAGCGTTGGAAGTAAACGACGAACTGGGACACGTAGTTATCAGAACTTTCATTATCATTGAGGACGTGCAGTCCGGTGTTGTTTACATGAATTTTAGGTGTTGTACGAGACATGCATCTTGGAACTGCAGCCGTCAAAACAGAAAGCAAAAGTGGATGTCGTGTTGAGATGATGGATGAAGTAGCGGGTTTGAATTTACACACACGTTTGAAATACCCTGTTTCCCCACCGTCTTTGCAAATGGCATCTCCGCGGAACACTTTAAGCATGGGTGTTTCGTATATCCGCAAAAATGACAAGTTGCTGTGGTTACGGCTGCCACAATCGGTTCAGTTATTCGGGTCATGCTGAGCACGTGAAGCAGAATTTATTGAGGCGCCGCAAATTGTTTTAGTTCCATATGACACTGTTTCAGAATGAGTATATCATTAGGCAGTCTAGACATTTAAAGCTGGCTACTCCAGGAGCCTCGTTTTGACTGCATTTTGACTCCAGGCATGACATCGTCGCAATATTCGTCTGTTAACACAGAGCGAAAATTTCTAGGCGTTTGACCTTTTACACAAAGTGGTCGATATTTGCCCACATTCCCACTTGCACCTAGTTCAAAGATATCGAGTAAAAGCCACGTACGCATACAAGACCTAACTAATTGAAACACCACTTCCGAGGGTTTCGTATTCAGGGGAAAGTCCGTCGACGTAATCTACATCGACTTCAGCAAAGCATTCGACAAAGTTAATCATGAAGTGCTTCTAGACAGATTAAGGTCGTGTGGTGTCGGAGGATCGTTTCATCGATGGATCCATGAATTTCTCGTTGGAAGTGGAGGGTACAGGTGGACGGCCATCTAACCGATTGGTATCCCTCGACCAGTGGTGTACCTCAAGGTACGGTACTGGGACCCACTCTGTTTCTCATCCATATCAACGAGCTGCCCCAGCTTCTACGATCGCCGTGTGCCCTGTTTGCGGATGACCTCAAAATTTGGCGAGAAATTAATACTCTCGATGACTGTGACATTCTCCAACAAGACCTCGACCGCCTCGCAGTATGGTCTACTGAAGTCCACCTACCGGTCAACCTGGCAAAGTCCCTATTCATGAATCTCGGGAAGGCTGTTCACGGACGAACGTACACCCTAGACGGCCAACCACTGCATCCCACACCTTCCGTGAAAGACCTAGGTGTACTCTCACGCTGCGACTTGAAGTCCGTGACAACACCAACAAACTGTATCGAAACGGACTGCGCATGCTCTGGGCGCTGAAACGCAGCTTCTGCACTTGCTCTGAGGACGTCGCCACTCGCCTCTTCTCTTCCATCGTCAAACCAATGCTAGAGTACGGCTCGTCTGCATACTGTCCGGTCACTCGCGGCGAAGCGCAAAAGATCGAACGAGTACAACACGTCGCCACCAAGTTGATCCCCAGCTTGAGAGGCTTATCGTATGAAAACCGGTGCATGAAACTTGGGCTCTACACTTTTTTATATCGCCGTGTTCGAGTGGATCTTATCATGACCTACCGTATTTTACATCTCGGTCATTCCCCCATGCTGAGGTCGTTACTCCACTTGCGAGTACCATGCACCACACGTAGGCACAGGTACAAACTCGTGGTACCTGATCTGAAGAAAATCCCACACCCCCTGTGTTTCGAGCGGACGGTTGTGCACGCCTGGAACAGTCTGCCAGAACACGTCGTCGAGGCCGAATCTGTGCAGAAATTCAAATCTTTGTTGGATTTACACTTCGCTAACATACGTTTCAGAGAACGGTTGCCACTTGACAACGATATCACCCACTTGTGACTCACTGTGTGAACAAGCATTTTGTGTGCTACAGAAGGAGTTGCTGAACCATCTCAAGATAACCACCGGACGTGTTTATTTTTTTAAAATGTTTTTGATTATCACCCGATGGAGTTGTACAGAATTATTTTCTACTTGCTCCAAAATACAGTATTCAGTATTCTACGGAAGGAGACAGCAAGTTGACAAGCATGTGTAGATTATCTGAGTCTGATTCGGAATCCACGAGTCGCCGATTCTAACCTACGCAGATGCTGGCTACCTTGCAGTATCAGTATGCCGCGCGCGACTGCTAGTGTTCGCGTGGCAGTAAAGCATACCGGCACACTATTGATCCCTTTTATACTTACGAACGCTGTCAGTCGAAGTTTTCCGGTGGATTCTCATCTCCTTATCTAAATTGGCTGGAGGGAAATATCCCCAGATCGGTATTCAATGAGTATGTTATCTCACCTCTGGAGACAGTTAGTGGCGCTCTTGCTTCACGCCACTCGGACTAGGTTTACAGTCTACAAATCGTTTACTATTACCAACTTTTTTGGAAGAGCATGCGCTCTATTTCTTTTTCAGATTATTTGGAAGTGGGAGACAGATGGCGAGGATCCGTTTGTTTCGCCATCAAACATTTGCCTTCCTAAACTGAACGATTCTGAGTATCCGCAGACCTTCGCACTACGTTTAGGCCTAAGCTAATCGATCTCCATGTGGACCTCCTGGTTGTATTCACTCCAAAGTTTCAGTCGGTGTACATACGTGGAACAACTCACTTTCCTTTATGCAAACCACCTTTGCATCGATTAAGTGCGATTGTTATCTCGCTGAATGTCCTGTTATCCACTGAACCTTCTGCTCCTTGTAGGTTCTTGATCAGGGCAGCTACTCACTGAAGCTCTGTTTTGGATGATAGATGACTCATACTGTTACTCTAAGGGAACACCGATGTATCTCCATCTCCTTGTACTCCGACGGCGACGCTATATTGAAAGTGCACGAGAAATAAGATGTTGTTGTCCACCAGTGTTTTGCATTTCCTTTGTTAGACCACCTTTCTGCTGGAAAACAAGCGACTTTAATCGTTACATCTGTATCAGCACATACTTCCTCTCATATCCAGCATAATTTACTGTTTTTAACTTCGTTTAATATTTCATACCTTTTGCCTGTCGTGCAAAAATCGCTAAAAAGGCGTATAACAACGCATCTCCAACACTTCTGTCATTGCCAGTAGTGCAGGCTATAAACATGAACCGGTTTACCGTCCTATTTTTTTTTACTCCACTTTAACACTTCAGAGTAACCTTATTATTTTGTCACAGAACCATGTCAGGCAGATGTCAATCGTTCATTCTTTCAAACGTGATGGTCTCAATGATCCACTGCTGAATTCTTATGGTAAGTAACTTACTTTTCTTCAAGATACAGTCTACTAAATTTTGGCTCAGGTCACTCCTTCTATAGCTTTGTCGCTTCTTTCTTGCAATTTGTGTTTTCTGCTTGTAGTTACTTCTTTTAACCGACATTTCCTTCTTCATTTGTGTAGTCTCCATCGATATCGGTGGTGATAACCTGACTCATTTGAAGTTGTTTTGTTCAGTTCATCTAATAACAGCAATCTGAGCACAAAAGCGTCATGAAATTAATAACGAATCACGAGTCGCCAATGTATTGAAAATTGATTATGATGATACGGAATAACTCAATGCGACTAACAGCAACCATAAAACCAACTACACGTTTCCACGTTGTTAAATACGTGGTTTTAACGGTGGTGATTAGAGCAAAACGAAATGAAGTTTCCTCATACCGTCATACATTTGTGTCGGTTTCGGTTCTACTGGTTTGGATTATCTGCTAATGTGACGTTGTGACCCAAAGCTTGCATCGTGTTGTTCGGTTATGATTCTGCTCTGCTGATCACTCGCACCATTGACTGAAACATCCGTTTGACACTATGCAGTCAAAATACATTTCAGATCTCTCCTTCGTTCCATTATCATTGACCATTCACAGACTCATCTGGCCATTTTAGCGAGATCTTTCATCTCCAATAACTCTACTCTTGTCCATTCTGCTACCTATTTTATTTCACTTAACTTCTACTCTCAGCCATGTGAATTAATTCACATATAACTATCAGGCTTCTGCGCTGGAATCAATTCGCTTCAACCATGCGTTGTCTGCAATGCGGCCTCATAAATAGTTTGTGACGATCCTGCTTTCTACCGATTCGCCTCCCGTTGAGCATTGCTGTTACACCGCCCTATGCCTTTGAGAAGTCGTTAAGATCAGGATTAACTTGTCACATTACGTACGCATTATTTTTATGGTCTAAGCTTACCATCTACAAAGGTCAGTCAGAGCTCACCTCTTTTCCGGCCATATCCAATCGAACCAAAGGTCATCACGATAAAACTTCAGCCTGATACAATGGTTTCCTGCATCCATGTTCCATTGGGCTACGTTGCTTGACATGTTACATGTGTCTACACAAACTCACGTTAGATAGGTCATTGTGTAGGAGTCATATAAGTTACCCTCATATTTTCTTCATTATACGTTGTACAAAAGTCGGTGGCGCTCTTTCTTTACAGTTTGGAAACGGGAGCCAATCGTTGTGGGTTCTCCGTCGCAACCAGATTGTGCCTTAATGTGGTGTGACGGTTTGCTTGCCTCTTCAACTCACTGAGTTATTCTGTATGGTGCCCTCGGACCCCTTGAATGCTACTCCTTCCAGATTGGCAAATGGTTAGAGTTCAGAGGAAATCAGTGTCCTGGGTCCTCCAGGTTGGGGATTTGAAGTGGGATGATGTCCATTTCTGTAAAACCGAATCGTTGCCACATCCGCTGCCGTGCGGACTGATTTTTGACTCCAATGCCTTGTTTGAGGACCCTAATCGTCCTCCTGTCTAGTTCTGGGCGCCCTGACAGTATCTCAACCCACATACAACCATGACTTTTCTTCAAACATAAAGTTCATCCTGCATCGACAGTCGCACAGCTTATCAAGGGTCGCCTTATCTGCTGCATACAGCAGGGCGGATAAGCAGAAACATGCTGCTAATGGCGCTTTCTTTCTTTTCCACCTGTTTCTCTTACTCCCATACCGACCCTCATTACTAACCTTCCTTCTATAATTCCCAGCTTAATTGACAGCAACCGATGTGCCACCGGAGTAAGACCATCTGCAGTCACCTTCCCGCAACACCCACCGGACGCCTATCGGCAACAGTCACTCATAGGACCACGCTGTCCCTTTTCTCTGGCGGCATTCAACGTTCGCAATCCAAGACAACAGGTTGCGCTCGCACGCACCTTGGACACACTGGGTATTGATGTGTGTTGTGTGTCTGAAACTAGGATTAATGACCCTCATGGGGTTGTTGAACTAACTGCTCACGGTTTGTCCTCTCGCTATTTGTAGCGCGCATCCGGAGACGCTGATGCGACAATTACCGGTCAAGCTGGGAGTGGGCATCGTTCTCAGTTCCAAAGCTGAGTCATCGTTGCTTGATTGGATTCCCGTGAGCTGCCGTTTGTGCACAGCCCGTTTGACGACACCAACTAAGGTTGATTCACCAACTAACACCCACTAACTGTGGTCCTGATGCTACCAAGGACACTGTCCTACGAAGCTCAGCTAGGTGATATGTGTGGACTTAACGTCCGCCGTACGGTTAACGGCCATCGTGTTTTGCAACTGTGCACCGAGCAACGGCTGTCTCCTTGTAGCACCGTTTTTAGACAGTTGGCACCGAAGTGACACTTGGCGTTTCCCTATAGCTCACCAGTTGTGGACCCAAATAAATCAGATTATCACACGTTACAGGTGGCGTGTTTCCATTCTAGATCATCGCGCATTCTACATTACTTAGGTATATACTGACAAGTGCTTCGGTACTTTGTCGTTTTTTTCATGAAATTTATTGGGGGAAGTACCAAGGGTCTCTCGCGACTGGCAATAGAGGTTTCCTCAGTCATCTGTCAGTCAACCCTACCAGGATTCTCTCTGTACTGAACATTCGCCCGCTCGTCCGAATGATATTGGGCTTACGACGTGGGAGCCTTTGCTTACGGTACTATCAATCGTAACCGCAACAGTCACTGGATATCTGGGTCTGTGAACCTGTTGGAATCCAGAAAAATGACTCCCGTTTGATACTGAACACAATGCTTTCAGACGGACTATTAGGCGCCAACTAAAGCTGAGCCTGCTTGCTGTTGGACCAGTAGGGTTCAAAAAATGGAGGATGCGGTGACAGTAATCACTTATTCTAAGCTCTTCCAAATGACCCGTACCGCTAGTACCAGAAACCTCAGTGGTAGTGGCCTAACGCCGGTAGTGACAAAAATATTGGTCTGAATTCTCGTTTGTCGCGTTTTTGCTGCACTAGATTCCCGGATTAGGGAACAGCGAGCAGGCTTCCGTCCAAGGCGTGGCTGTATACTCCATAAATTTACTCTGCGGCAAGGGCTAGACCAGCGCCGCACGTCAACAATAGCTGTGTTTCTGGAGTTCCAGAGTACGTTCGACACTGTCGATTGATCCATTCTATTCTAAATACTTGCGCGGAAAGGTGTTCCCATAAAATGTGTGAACATTTTAGGTGCTCTGTACTAGAACATTACTGACTGCGTCAGGGTGTACGGTGACCTGTCGGATAGCTTTCCGACCACATGTGGCGTTCGTCACGATTGTTCGATTTCTCCATTTTTGTTCAGTTTCCTCGTGGATTCTATCATGGAGTGTTCCCTTGCGGAATCTCATTATGTAGGCATTGAGGTCCAGCCTGGTGAAAGGTGAGTTGATCTTGATTATGCGGACGATTTCGTCTTGCTTTTCTGACGACTTTGCGGCTTCACAATCAACCCTGAATAGCTTGTCTAGTGGTCCCATTATTTAAAATGCACTTCGCACCTTCAAAGTGCAGTGTTGCTGCAGGACCACCAGCCACTTTATGATCCCTTGTCTCTTGCTAACGAGTACTGGAGGTGGTTGATCATTTCACTTACCTTAGCAACTGCATTAGCAACGATGGGCACATAGAAACTGAAGTCAGTTCACCCATTGCAAAGGCCAGAACTGCCTTCTTGAACCTGCAGCATCTTTGGCAACTGAAAGGCCGTGTATACAAGGACACAATGAGGGCCGTCCTGCTTTATGGTAGTAAAACTTGGCCCCTTCGGCCATTACGTCGCATCACTGCGAGCAGGTGGTACGACACGTATCCGGGAATTACGGACGCGTAATTCATATGCTTGATTTATAGAATACGGTCCTTTGAATAAGCCATTTTTCTGTAAAATAGTTGGCACTTTTGCTCGATGGATAGGAAAGCTCCTAGTCCATGAAATGCTCTGAATTGCGGATACATAGCAATATGGGTCCTTAAATAGTCGCAGCTATTTGTTTCTCTTGTTGCCCCTGTCGGTGTTGGAAAAGCAGGTTGATGTATTGATTGTGGCAGTGCTTGTGTCAAGTCGGTGCCATCACAATAAGGCTGGACCTTACCGTGGTGCGATGGTTTGTGTGCCTTAGCGATCCATTGAGCTATGCTGGGTGGTGCTTTTACACCTTCAGAGTCACTCATACCAGATTGGTCAATGGTTAGAGGCCAGACAAACTCAGCCTCCTGGCCCTCCAGGATGGGGGTTGGAATGAGGGTGGCACCTTATTCCTTAAAACGGACTCCTTGATGTCCAGTGCCAAACCCGCTGCCTTGAGGCCAGGTTTTTGAACCAAAGGCTTTGGTTGAGAATCCTAATGGTTCTCCTGTCTAGTCCTGGGCAACCTGACAGTATCCTGCCCACGCAATACCATGAAAATTACCTCAAACAAATTGCTGATGCTTTGGCCACCGCAGAAGATAATCAACGGTGCCCTATCTGCTGCATCGAGCAGGGTGGATAGGGGTGCTACTGCTCAAGCCTTCTTGCCTTCTCACTCCCCCCTTACGCTTTTTCTTTCTTACCGTCCCGTTCCAACTTCACTTATATCCCTCCTGTTTTCAACCCTCCGATTCTTGGCCCTCCCCCAACATTTTTCTCTAGGCGTTTATCTCCTAGTTTCGACTCACATGTAAACGCGGAGCGTCACTCCTCTCCTGTCGACAAGCCCATGTCCAACCAAGCGGTCCATTCCAGTTCCTCGGCTTCCATTTGGAGCCCTCGATCCTCCTTCAGATGTTCATGCTTCAATGTACGCACATCACTGCAGATCAGTCAACAGGCAACACTTACCCGAACATTAGAGACCCTCTCGATCGATATCTGCTCCTTATCGGAGACCCGCCTGCAAGACTCGAGCTCTGTGCTCACTCTGCGATCTCCTTCAGGTGACTCAAGCAGTACTTTCTCATTGCGCCTATCCGGTGACGATGCAGCTTCGAGCACCG